TGCACATCTGAAAGGCCTAGGCCATGCCTTTGTATCAGAATGTTACAACATTAGCCCTAATGACTTAATAGTTTTGCCCTTGACTTGTGTCAACAGGAACCTATCTTATTACATGGTAAATTAGTTGCTTCCAGACTACTCCAGACTCCTAGGTGATGGGAAAAGAGAGGCATTTCTAGCAAAATTATAAATGTAACCCATTACCTAAACAGTAGTATTTAGTAGCATTTTAATTTCTGTATATGTGTTTGAGTGAAGGAAGGCTGGACACGGTGTGGGGAAGAAGCCAGGACATTTGGTGTTCAGAAGCCAAAATTAAAAGCAAGGCATCTCCTTTGCATACTGTTGCACAGTGTCATCAAAGGTCATCGCCTGCTGCAGATATCAAGGGATAAGGAGCTAAGGTCAGACATAATGATGGTAGGCTCTAGGTAACAGAGGATGCTTTCTTATGCTCCTTCTCTTCTCTTGGAGAAGTTTGCACCCTTTACAGGCTTTCTTCGTGTCCATGCAGAAACAGTTTCCAAGCCTGGCACGGCACAAAGCCACCAAGTGACCAAGGTGCATTAGCAGCTAACTATTCAGAGCCCCTCCTTGCATAAAACAAGGGCAACCAGTAATTTCTAAAAGAGTTACTGCTACCAGGCAATTGTCTCATTCTATGTAAATTGAGAAATTCTGTGTTTTCCGATTTATCTGGAAGGCTTTGTTCTAAAACCCAGTCTCCTGTCAGCTAGACAAAGGGTTACTTTTCACAATAAATACACGAGAAGGGAGAGACATGCTTATACGGTTATGTAAGTCTTCTTTAAGGAGTTTTACAGGCAAGTAAGATGCAGCTCCAGACACTAGACTTTTAAATCATTTAAAGCTGACATAGGCTGATCCTAGGCACAGTTTATAATCATGTTTTTACTTTTCAGCTCTGACAATTACAAACTGTTTGTATTAGCTCCACAAGTATTCCTATTCAGCAGTACTGTCAAAGTCCATTCATCCCAGTCTCATAACAGCACACCAATCCTTTGCTTTGCCAGCCTCCATCCATAACCTTCACCCAACTGTTACCAACCACATAGGGAGGGGCAGGGGATATCTACAGCCTGCAACCCCCCCCCCCCCCCATCTGCAATCTGTGGTAACTGCAGTTTCCCATGTTTCAATGTGGTTTTCAGACCATCTCAGCTTGGCAGGAAGAAGCCTGACATCCTCTTAGCATGTTGCACTTGTAACCTTTGAAGATGTTCAAAAGAAAAGGAAAAAAAAAAAAAAAAAAAAAAAGGTCTTAACCATTTTGCATGAAGTTGCATGAAAAGTCTTCGGGCCTAACTAGACTGGAACTGTTTTAAGTACTTCTCTACTACAGCAGCAGTGCGTCATATGAAAGGCTTTGTTTGGCATCTATCCACAGCTATAAATAAAAAACATATTTATCTTTGGTCATGCATATAATTTAAAATTCAGACAGAAGAAACCTTTTTTCTCCTTTTAAATCTGTAGCAAGCCCAAGATAAATTCTTATAAATTATTTCTTTTAAAAGAAGGAAAAGAAAAAAACAATAACAAAATAGCTTGGCTATTTAGAAATCTGGAAAACAGATTATTTCTTTGGATGGAACAAAGTGTGTGTATGTGTCATCATGACTTTAAACAGTTCCACGGTTCCCCATGGAAATACTTAATTGAAGCTAATAAGATGTGGAGTTATCAGTGGTTTGGCATGATGGATTTCATATGGCCTCTCCAAGATGTTTTACCTCTTTTAAAACTTACTGACCTAAGATTGTGTTAACTGGTGATCTGAACAGCAACCACCACAGATACTAAATCTGAGTGAAACCCTACTCACAGAGGGGACGGGAGTTTGGGCAAACCCCTTACAACTCCAACCTTTATGCAACACAAACACTTAAACTTCTGATTTGTAGCATGTGTGACAACCTCCCATAGAAACCTTCAGATGAAAGACTTATTTGCCTCTTAACACTTGCAGCACGCGTCAGAAGTCCTTTCTTTTGGCATCACAGAATTAGGAAAGAAACTATTGTCAGAAGACTACAGATCCCAACACAAATCTTCCTTCAAATACCATGCTTCTTAAGGTGATCCTACAAACTCAACCCCATGACACTACAGAGGACCAGGCCTGCCTTCTTCCATTACATGTATCAGTTGACCACAAGTACATGCTAAGAACATTTTTGACTAGTTACAACAATTTAAAAAAAATGTGCCCTTCTAACATCTCAGCATTTTTAACCATAGGCACATATCTACACAACCTAATGGAGAGCCGGTAAAGATTTCTGTAGGTGCACAAACAGGTTATTCAGAATCTGCAAAGTGTAGGTGTTTTACAGGCATCTGTATATACCCATTTCTGATAGTATCTCAAAATAAATTTGTTTTGAGCCAACATATCTGTGTCACCATATAGGATTAAACCATTATGAAGTTTATGAAGGAGGTAAGTTTTTTCCTATGCTGATAGCAGCAGAATTTATAAAGGACTTTGAGTAGAGGTAATCTGCATAACTTTGGCACTCATTTCATACTTATATTTTAGGTAATTAATTAAACTGTCTTCTTAAAATCGGCCAATATTAAAAGAAAAGAAATCTGTAGACTTTTCTGACATAACCACCTTTTGCTTTCAGCAATTTTTTTCCCTGAAAACTTATTCCCTGCACCTGCAAATGCATCCACTGCATATGTTTCTTTTTAATGTTAATATTCCTTTCAAATATACTATCCCCACCGATAAAGTCAAGAACATGTCTATGGGCTGTAGGGTCAAGTTCAGCATACCACCTATCAGTAATTACGTCAGTCAGCAGCAAGCACAGCGCATTCATTAACCTATAAGCAACCTTGGTATTTAGCTTACACTGACCAATATTATGTTCAGTATTAAAGAAACTGCATGCAAATACCATAATATAGGAAATGCAAGGTTACAGTAAATTCCATGGCATAACATTGCATTTGGAAATAGTTGAAGTCAACATGAAGAGTGAATCATAAGATGAAACAGCTACTTTGCAGTTGCTTATGGACAGGGACAGCCTGGGGATCGAACACTCAGGATTAATACAATGTTCTTTAGGTGGTGAACAAGTGTCCTGGTTGGGGCTGGACTAGAGTTCCTGTTGGTTTTAGTAGCTGGAGGAGCTGCAGCCCCCTGAGACCCCAGGGGCTCCCCAGGCCCCAGTGCCCTCACCTGTGTGCGGGGGCGGGGGGAGCATAGCTGGAGGGCTGGGCCCCGATTGGCCGATATCCCATGTCATGTGACATTGTGCTCACTATATAAAGGCAGGAGTGGGCCAGGAGGGGCTCTCATGTGTGGGGAGTGTGGCTGTGGGGCCTTTGTGTTTGGGATTGCTGGCTGGGAGCAGGCGGGTGGTGAGCAGCTGTATGGTACATTACCTGTTGATACTGCTGTCAGCGTATTATTCTGTTACTATTATTAAACTGTTTCTGTCTCAACCCCCGAGTCTCCCTTTGCCCCTCCGATTCCCTCCCCATTCCCAAGTGGGGGGAGGGTGGGTGAGCGGCTGTGTGGCATTTAGCTGCTGAGTAGGCTCAAACCACAACAACAATGTGAAGAGGAGCTCTGCATTGATTTTCTAGCCAGCAAAGAGTAAAAGTCATCTCCTGAAGGTAATTCCCATCTTAAGTATCCAAACTCTGTGACACCTCTGACTCCTCATCAACTATACAGGGAAGAGAGGGCAACTGATTTCTCAAATTAGGTGTCTTGTATAGTTACCAGGAAAAGAATCCAGGATGAACTTTCGAGCATATTTCCAGTACCAGTTTCCCCATAAGACAGTCTGTAACTTTATGTGTGTTCCTTAAAATGCAAAAGTGCCTAAGATTTACAAGGTTAGCAATGTAAGCTGCTGTAAGCGGCATGCAAACTCAGATGCTGCAGGATTCTTTACCACTGCAAGTTTTCATCCATCTCAGCATATGGATGAACTGAGCAGAGGAGAAGCAAGCCTGATTGTAATTACATTAAGCACTTTGGCAATAAGGAAAAGTTTGTACTTGTACACAGATGGCTTTATGTTACAATGCTATAAATGTGCCAAGTTTCATGGCTTCGCCATATGATGCAGGGAAGGGGCTTGATCCAAAGTCTGTGCAAACCTGCTGAAAAGCTCTCACTGATTTCAGTGCATTTGTATTGGATTTATGATAAGTCCACTGAACACACCTGGAAAAGGGAATAGCCTTTTGTACTAAAATGCAAATATTTTTAAGCCATTTTTAGCCTGGTTTGCTTTTTTTAGCTCAAGTCTCCATGCTCTGGTGACTCTGTTTTCCTTTGAAGGAGATACAATAAAGTCCAGTTCAGGTTGATTAAAATTACTTTGACTGCCCACTGTAGCTCTCATCTAAACTGGAAACTTAAACTTTACAAACCTCATGGAAATTACCTGGGGGGAAAAAAATATTACATTCTTATTCTGTAAGGCCTCCTGAGTCCTTCTGGTGTGTTTGATTCAAGTCATCTTTTCTGTGACCCCCCCACCCCTACTACCTCATGAAAGTAAGAGATTTTAAAACTTACTTTAAAAGTCCTTAATTTAGAAAAATAAACAAAAATTCTGTCAACCCATTCCCCAGTGTCTCACCATAACTTATTTTAGAGTAGTAAATCTTCCCCCTGACAGCTCTCTGATGATGCATTACATTAATACATCATAATGACAATACTTGTGATATATGATGGATATATTTTCTGAAAGGGATATCACCTATACATTCCATCTTCCCAGCACAGAAGAAGAATGTTTGGGAAAAGAGGGAGAAGGGGTGGTAAAGGATGTTCTTTACTCAGAAGGCAAAATCTCACAAGAGAATGTGGAATTATGCTGATTGCCCTTGTTAAAATACCAAAGTGAATAAGAAATAAAATGTGTCCTGTGGAAAAAAACCTTCTACTAGTAAGATGACCTGTTTGTTCCTCAAATACTGATACTCAGACTGGAATATAAAAGCGAAATTCTTTAATATATTTGTATCAATCATGCTAATACAGGAGAAACAGACTCTAGGAAATAATCACAACAACTTGGATGGGGTTGAAAGACTGTGATAATGACAGATGCAATATTTAAAGGGGTAACTAAGGTGGTCTGCAAACAGAAATACATGGCAGCCTCCGTGAATAATCTGGTGAGTTCTGTACACTCCAAAGAGTCACCCATGACTGACACAAACCAAAATCTTTTCAGTGCCCAAGCATGGACACGGTGAAGACAGGGCTTTTTAGTAGGAAATAAAGTTAATTTTTGACATGGATATCTGGCCTTCCACAACACCATTGCACATAAGAACAAGATCACAGGCTGGTGTTTGTTGTGCTAGGCTCTACACTAACAGTACAAATACAGTCCTGTTCTCAGCCAATTGGAACTCGATTTCCAAGGTTTAGAATGCAAAATCAATCCCTGGCTTAGAAGAGCCTGTTGCCTGGGCAGAAGGTAGTAGTAACTTTGCTCCAAAGGCTCATTCTCACACATGTGACTGTGGGGGCTGAACAGTACGAGATCTGACAGACACCTTTGACAATAACTGGTCTAAAGTGGCCCTCCTGATGCATTTGGTTTACACACAGGTAACTCTGACAACAACCTCAGTGCCCCTGTTCTTGGCGTAAAGATCTCAAGGGCAGTCAGAACCTACTACCTTGGGCCTACCAATAGCTTTCACTGTTCAGAAACATGGTCATTCCATCCACTATCAGGCTACTGAATTCTTAGTATTCAGCTTAGATGCAGAGAAAAAAACAGTGGAACAACGAGCATCTGACTTCTTAGGGGTTCTGTCAGTGATCTGATGTTTGGGCGAAAAACTTGACTTTTGCAAAACACTCACAGTGGACTCCCTTCAGCACCGAATTGCTGTTGGCTACCTACATGCCACAAGTATCTGAATCCCATTTGGACTATGCTATTAGTATTCCCAAGGTCTTATGCTGTATGTGATTGGCAGAACTGTCTAAGAATAAACATCTTCCACGACCCCTCTTCAATTACAGCCTTACCCACAGGTAACCCATCATGTGATGAAATGGAGTCAGATGATAAATGTTCTGGCCTGGCAAATACTCGCTTGTATCTCTGCACAAGACTAATGCAAGGAAGAGCACATGAAGCACTTTCTGTTTGGTCTGGATGATGCTGCACTGCAGGGGTAGATCTGATGCCTCTTTTCTGAAAAAACTCGGAGGCCTGAGGTATTCCTTTGTTAGTTAAAGAATTAGTAAACAAAATTCCTGTGAGACATTTATTGGAAGAAAAAGATGTCGTGACTCAGATTCACAGAAAAGGATTAAAATATTACAATAAGAGTGAAATCCAAATAAACATATATCTGAGCATATATTTCTGTGTGCAATCATCCCAGCTGGCAAGCAAACTGGGTTTGAATGTGGTGGCACTATTATCAGCTCCAGTGTAAAGTTCTTCATAAAGAGAGGCCTTGGACACTGCTGTTTTAACTTCGCTAGAAACATTGGAGGGAAGAGCCTCAAATTCCTGATAGGGATTGGCAGGTCTTGCTCTGTCTCAGAAACGCTGAAGACGGAAACATGAAGTGCAAGCAAAATGACAGGAGTGTCGATGTCACTCTGTTGAACGCATGCAAAGAAGCGACGATGCCCAGTACAAGGCAGTGCAATAACCACATTCTCTGAATGTGAACGGAGTGCTCCTGAAAGGTGCTTATTGACCTCTGAATCTTCAATCTGCAGAAGAGATCTGAGCTATAATGAATATAGGAAACCACTACGTGATGGCCATGGTGCCTTGCTAGCAAGCCTATCTCCTGAGGGTTGATTACAGGTAAAATTAAAAAGGTTCTAATGGAAACCAGGTGATACAATCAACCCCGCTAAATCCATTGTCACTTTTCTATGACCACTTGCAAGAGCCTGTTGTAATGTTATTTTGTATTGAAGGCGTTTGTCCTTTAGTTGTTGAAGGGAAACAACCAGTTCATTTTGTAGATGAGCCATCAGTTTCTGGATACTGTTGCTCTGAGTTAAGCAAACTGCATTTCCAAGTCCCATCAGTGCTGGATTTCTCAGGCATGCCACATGTCCTCTCACTTACAGGAAAAAAATAAAAAAAAAAATCAGTGTCCACAAAAGCACTAAGAAAAATGCTAATCGACTTGCACTAGGGCTAAGTATATATGTAGGAGTTATAAAAAAGAGCCCTTCTTACTTACTTTATAGCAGGGATAGCATCCCATTTTTCTGTCAGCAATGCAAAAATGTTATTTTCTGTCCTAGCCCAGCCTACCCTGCTGTCTTACACTAGGATGAGCTGGGGAAGTAATAGTGCAAAAGCTTTTCAGAGATACTCCATGTAAACAAAGCAGAGGTCTCTGTATTTTTCTCTGCTGTGTTCTCTTCTTAGAACTAACTTTTGCTCTTTTCATCAAACATAGCTCCAGGTAAGATGCTGTGATTTTAGTTGTTATTAGTGTCTGAAGCAGTTTTCCTGCATTCACTTGTTCCTGGCATTGAATATTCGCAGCAGAATTGTTTATTCTTTCACCCTCTTTTGTCTGATGTTATTGTGAAAACTGAAGAAGTGTCACAACTGTAGGGACTTTCATGCAGGAATACAGTGACTTCCAAGTTCACTTTTAAACCTAGTGATATGAGTTTAAAAGAAACTATTAAAAACACTGAAACAGGGCATCTTTATTAGTAAGGCTAGCTGACTCAAATGATTTTATTAGAATGTTCTCTGCTATTTTGCTATTTTTCCTTGCATGTTAGATGCATACAGAAAGTCCTGTTAACCATCATACAATCCATAGATCCATACTACCGCAAGAAGATTGCTCAGCTAAAGTTCACACAAAACAAAAGTGAAGTTACCCCAAAGGAATCTCTGTGTTTCAAGACAATTTTATTGCTGAGTTTCAAATATTAAAACTCTCCCAGTTGTTAAATAAAGAGTGATGAGAAAATGCATGCAATTTTAATTTCCACTGGGATTATGCCTGGTGTAAGACAATCATGTTGTTAGATATTTTTCCAAAGACTAAAATGATATTATAGCATCTGTGAAGGATGTTATGAAGAGCAAGGTACTGAAATAAAAATATTTTTATTCCAGATTTGCTACTTTTTATGCTTTTTGCTGAAATTGCTTGGATTAGAATTTATGCAAAGCTTTATTATCTAAGACACTTAAACTCAACTTAGTTTAACTGATGTATCTATTAGCTTGCATATCTTGTAGTTAGTGAAGGCTTGATACATCAACTAAGGAGAATCCATGCAAGTCCAATGGATATTTATAAAAAGTGACATAGCATTTTCTTGTTTACCCTCCCCAGCAGTGCCAAAGCAACAGTGTACTTTAAATTGGAAGCTGATGTTTATCATGCTCCCTGCAAAACCACTGGTTAGTGGAATGGTGGGGTATTTGCAACGCCTGTGCGCTGCGTTTGTCCTCTGGGGGCTGATGGGATTTCAGGTGCTCTTAAAAGACATTTGTAGGGAGACTGAAAAATGGGGAATGACAGAGAGGAACGTTTAAAAACAAATTACAGTCTTAAATATAACTAGTTCATAATCCCTAGCTCATAATCAGGTCCTGAGAAACAGATATACCAGGTATGAAGTATCAGACTGTAATTGTGAAGAGGAATTTGCTTGGGAGGTAACTTTGGCTCTGTCTGGGAAAAAATTTAAAGGGACTTACTAAACAGCTCCATTGTCAGAAAACTAAAAATGTCAACAGTGACTATGAAAGCATGCTGCTAGAAAAGTAAACATTACCTTGTTTGATTTTGTTTATTGTTTTTCTTGTAAGATCCGTAAATCTTCCTAAAATGCTTCAACCTGGAGGAAGAAAATAACGCTAATGAAAACACTACCTGAAAAATGTGTCAGTTTTTGTAATTGAGGATAAATATGACAATATTGACAAAATTGACAGTAAATACTGACACCAATGTATGTTTTAGTTCCTGCACTTCTTTAAATGTGGCAAAGCAAAAAGACATGGGACCTGCCTTCTTCAAACTCATTTTCCTGCTCACACAAAGTTCCAGCTTTCAGGATCCTACAAAATACTTTTCTCCTTTTCTATTAGTATTGTTACTCAGCAATCTACGTAGGACAAGGATGGGATAGAAGAAACACCGATTTTCATCTCACTCCACTTCCAGACTGTTTTTGCAAAGGAAACTGCTCTCCAGTAAATGTGTTATATAGCCAAAGTTTAGGTGAAACTAAATTTTTCCAAATCGCCTTATATTTGAATGTCCTGATACAGGTGTTTTCCAAGGGAGATGTTCTAGAGGAATCTCCTAGGTTAGAGGGCAGTGTGTTTGCTTTGTGTTGATTCCTGTTAAATTGCAAACTTCTTCATGGAATGGGTAAAATCCAGGCAAGCAAATCATATTTGTGTGTTTTGCCCTAACACTTATCTGAGTGTAAGGAATGGGCAATGGTAGAAATTTCACCATTTATTCCTTGACAGGCAGCTGCATAGCTGAGAAGACCTGTGAGAGTGACATGGAGTTTATGTATCCTGGAGATATGGAGAAAAACAAAGGGAAATAGCAAAGAAAGGGGAGGTGAGGTAGCGTGGGGAAATTAAGCAGAAAAATCAGCAGTTACTGTAGCGGAACTATATTGCTAGTTCATTTTTTTTGGACTTGATTTAGAAAGAAAAATAATAGGCACATTTTTTCAGATTTATTATGTTTGGAGGTAGTACATTTAAGCAGAATAGACAGAGTGGGTGATATGAGTAAGAATCTAATGATAATAGGAATTAAGGGAAATTTCAAGGCCAACCAAGAGCGAGTGAGACAAACTCTCTGCTCTCCACATAATTGACAAAGTGGTGCCTCTTCCATTTCTGGACATTTTTAAAGACAAACTGGGACAAAACAACACAAGAAAAGACAAAACAATGCCCAAATCAGGATCTAGGCAACAGTTCCAGCAAAAGCTGTTCCAAAGCCAAGACAACAATGGCAGCAAATCCAAAAGCAGCAATATGGGCTCTAGGAGGCACTGCACCTTCTTCTTTTCTTCTGGCCTCCAACCAGAGCCGTCTGCAGGGTGTTAGTCTGCTTGGAGGCTGACAAGAAAGACCCTTACATTGACAAGCCCACCCAGCAATGAATAGATTCCTCCAGATCAATCCTATGTGACTCACACCCATGAGGAAGAGAGCTTATAAAGCCATTCCTACAGCCTGTAAACTTGGTAGTCTCCTTGTGGGTTTCTACAGGGCTGGCCCATGGTGTGGTAGCCCAATGCTCCATCTCTAAGGTTTCTCCAAAGACAACGCCAGCCCTTGACAGTTTTTGTAAACGGCATGAGAGTTTATCTAGGGATGCCAGAAAGCCTGTATCAGTTCCAATAGCGGAGCTCAGACCTATGTGGGGGCATTACCACATATCAGGGAACCCATTTTTCCACCAAGTTCCACAGCCTGGGCTACAGCTTGCTAAATGGGTAGCAAAGGAGGGGTCAACATCTGGCTCATTTCTTATAAATGGCCAACAAGAGGTTTTAAAACCTGTGGGGTCAGAAAATCTTTCTCTCCACTGTGCTTCAGAAATGCAATGCCACTTAACCTGGTTCTTGATTTACCTTTACCATATCTGAAATCCCCAAGATTCTCAAATAATGTATAGGACACTATTACATGTGCAAGGACAGCAGTGAGTTACCTAAAAAATTAAGAGAAGATCATTGGAAACAGAACAGTTAGCATTTTACTATATGACACTCCAGTGGTCAAAAATGTAAATTGTTGAAACTAGAAACAATAACCAATTCTAAACATCTTTGTTGACTTCTGTGTAATACAGGGGGTTTCAGAGCTCACGCTAGTGTAAACAGGAAGTAAAGAAAAGCCAGTCCCTGAAATTGGAAATAGGACTTGGGAAAAGTCAGGTCCATTCCCCTCTACTCCTTAGGTTGTTTGTGCAAATGATGGACATATTTAAAGTCAAGTCTCAAACACAGAAAATGGGAGATTAATACTCTCTACTTCTGTCCTGCCTAATGAGATTGTAAGATCTCTCATTAACTGTTTGTCCCAGCCATAGCACAGCTGAGACCAGACCTCCTTTGGGGCCCCTCTACTTTACGATGCAATTAATGCACATAACCCTATGCCATTTAGAGTTCTCGAACCCTAATGTGTAATGTGTGCTGGGATGTCAGCTTTCTGGGATCAGCAGTGTCCCACTGGCAGCAGTCCTCCTTTCACTTTGCATCTTTTGCATCTACCTGTTCTTCTGTGTTATAACCCCGCTAAGCTCCTGAGTGCTGGAGCTGATGAAAAGCAAGAGCAGCCTTTTATAGGCCAGAGTAAAGCAGAGATGCACTAGGTAACTACTCACAGACATCCAATGGGCCAACTCTCCCTTATTTTACTTACAAAGGAAGGTTATGTGAAAAGAATGGTAAGACTCTCATCGATCTCAAGTGGGCCGGCACTTCTCATTCAAATAATGTCAGTGACATCTTTTGTTGGTGCAAGGAGGGTTTTGCTCAATCTTTCTGTCCCACCTCACCTTTTCCAAAGCCATTCCCATGTCTCCACTGAAGAGATTTCCAACCACAACTGCTCCATCACTAGATAAATTGCTTCTTTGTGCCAGAAAGATTTCATTCTATGTGTTTATTTAACCTGTGTAGCCCCAGGAACTACCATCTTATTTGCATTTAACAGGCAGTAGCAAGGCATGCAAAATCAAAGCTGTGTTCTGCTGAAACTGCAAGATGAAACACAAGAGCACTCCTAACTTCAGGGAGTTTTGTAGAGGGAAAATAGGAAGTGAAACAATTTTTTAAAATGTCCACTTTTGTAATGCATTAAAGCCCTCATTGCTTTTGCCAAAACTTCACTTTTAAGAAGAACCAGCTGTGGATTTGATTTCTATGTTTCTCAGCTATAAGTCAATAGAGGATGCAATTTTAAAGCACAAGACCTATAACATACAGTGTGAATCATCTCTTGTCTGCATATAAGATAGCACAGATAGCTAACACACTTAGTGAAAGCTTTATCACCAAAGAAACACATTTATAAGCATTGAATCTAGCACCTTAACTTTTACAACTCACTTTAAACTTTAAAAAAAATGCCAGCTGTAAATAAGTCCATACTCATAACTAGAAATATGTGGTATCCTTCACTCATGCCTATTTTAAGAATTACTCATCACCTGTGAGTGGCAATGTGCAAAGCCAATTTGCAAAAGTTCAGAGCTTCTGGAGATTTGGACTCTGATCTACCTGAAGTTAATTGTTTCAGAGAGATAATAATTTTTTGGTAATTATGTCCAACCAATCCATAAGTAACCCCTTACAGAATAGGTTTTATCTAGTGCCACTTGCTATTTCCTAAAGGTCATGGAATCTCTTTTTCTTACCTCTAACGGCTCACCTTTCCTGGGTGCACTATGGGGAAGCATAATTCCAGCAGAGTGGAAATTCAGTCAGCAAATGAGGCATCGACATAAATATTCATGGGGGAAAAAAACTTTTGAAAAAATGTTGAGAAAAGAGTGTAGGTAAATCATAGTATCCTTGGGAGACCACTAAGATATGCACTGTCAATTTACATGGATTTGCTTAAAATTTTGTCTGTAATTTAGGAAGTGCTATCATACTTTCTGACTTATCACCTTCTTGCCAGTATTTGGACATCTTTTGAGCACTGGACACTTCATCAAGGACAGAATAGTTGCCCAGATGCCAGGCAGCACCCATCTGTCACATTTACAGTCTGGGAATTAGCAAGGGAAATCATTCCAGACTATTCAGAGAAATGTTTATGCCCCAGACAATATACAACAGTTGTTCAGTTTTTACAATGTGAATTTGACTTCCTGCCTAGGATTCTTTTCCCACTTTGCAAACCCAGGACCTGATATGAAGGCAGTCCATGGGAGAAGCACACTGAATTCAAAGGGACCATCTGCATGTACAAGGTTAAGTTTCTGCACAAGCGCCAGAAGAGACACTGGGCATTATCTCAGGGTAGAGCCCCAGTGGAGTTCAGCACAACTTAATACAGCAATGATTCAGTTTCAAGAGAAAAATTGGAGGAAGAATTTTGAAAATGCTTGGTTATGACTTGTTCTGCTTGTGGCTGTGGTCACTGGTAACACTTTTATTGATCCTAAGAGGAAGAGAGGGAAGCTGATGCTATGTGCCTTTAGAAAGCCATCTCTGAAAACACACATTTAAAATATTTGACTCCTTGCAGTTAATCCTACAAGGACATACATTCGCAGAGACCTTTGTTTAATCAAGAATCCTCTGAGCTCAATTGATGTCTGGCTCCTGTCTGGTTCCATGAGACTAAATAGATACAAATAAATGGAGTCATTTGCCAACCTAGGACTCAAATCACCAGCAGACATCATAAAATCCAGTGCTCACAAGAGTCTAAGATACAAAATACCAGACTCTGGCACCCAAATTTGACCATTCAGTGAGGAATAAGATATAAAGGATTACTTCAAAGACACTGACCATGAAGAAAAAGAACACCCACCAGTAGGTAATGATGAAATCTTGAACTTTCACACCACATCTCAGTAAATATTACCGCACTATAATTGAGTTCATCAGGTTCCATGAGCATGCCCATACTTTCTTCTCCATTTCTGGATGATTTCCATTGGTGTTATGCAAAGGACACTACTGTCTACTGGGAGGTTGTCTGTGCTAACCCGAAGCACACTCTTTTCAACAGTTTATTTCACCCCTGTTTGTAGCTTTTCAGCTCTCAGATCTTCCCTAATGGGGACAGTGACCAGAGGGATAGAAGATACATACCTTTTATAGGGACAAAATGAGGGGCAATGTTAAGGTTTATTCCTTTTTTTTCCTTTTTCTCTTTTCTAAAGAAAACCTTTTATTCAACCCCAATGTCATAAAAGAAGATGATGTCATAATTTATGATATTAAACTGGTTACTAAAATGTCATTACACAAGTGATGTTTTAATTGATGATGTTAAACTGGTTAGCAGGAAAGTGTCAAGTGTCACTTTCATGACATAAACTGCCAGTTATGATTATATAATATCAATTATTCTTTGGAAAATTGCATTAGATCAGTTAGTTCTGAACCAATGTAGTTGGGGCAGGTTCATATTTTTTTTAAATGCTGTTCATCCAGTTCTCATTATTAGGAGTAAAATATACTTTGGATGCAGTTTAGACTTTTATAACTCTCCCCTTGAAATATAATACCTACCTTTCTCTTTTGCCCTTTCAGCTGCCATCAGATCAACAGTGAGCTAAAAAAGAAAGCAGTGAGTTAAATTTTATAGCCTTCACTGAGCTTGCCTTGTTCTGTAATCTTACAGAAACCAAACTTTTGAGTTGAAGGTAGACAAAAATAACAAAACACAATTTTAATAGTATGTTAAATATAGAACATTAGGATTTGCTGACAGGATGTTGGTTACTATGAGCCCTTCTTTGACGCTGGATCTCCTAAAGCTTTAGCATCCAGCTGCTCTCCAAATTCCTCTAAATCTTATTCAGGCACAGAACCAAAAGAACATACTAATATCTGAAATGCATGTAGCCAGATCTTAAAAACTTAATCCCTTCTAGGGATAGTTACAAGTAAAAGCAGCAAGTTTAGTCCATGTATACTCCCTGGGTCCAATATGAGAAGGCTGACTCACTGCTGATGCTGATCTGATCTAGCAAGTTTATAACATTTCCCTATGTCAAAGTTGCATTTTGTTCCTTGCTGTCAGTGACACATTGCTGGCTAACTGGCAAAGATATGCAGATGCCCCGATAACAAGTTAGATGTAACATAACAGAATGAGATTTTTATGGGAATTTCCCAGCTGAAATCTTATCTATTTTATAGGAGAACAAGTACATTCACATTAACGAGGGAGAAAGCAATAGGCAGGGCTATCTCTTGGTCAAGACTGTTGGATTTGTCTGAGTCTAAATAAGAGGATCTCCCCTATTGTAAAATGGCAAAAAAAAATACAAGGGAAGGATAAATGATGTACATCCATGCAACCACACCAAGCCTGAGAAACAGTGAGGACTCCAAAGTCAACAAAAGTTGGCTGCTAAATAAGCCACACTATTACTTTCCTGAACAACTTTGTGCTCAGACCAGTGTTGCTTTATAATGAAAGCTGGATGTGGAGATGACTAAAAGGGCCACACTTCTCTTCACTCCTAACTTTGATCAGACCAGAAGCCGCACTTCATGGGAGAGCTCTTGGAGGTTTGATCAAAGGATTGTGGAAGGTCCCAGAGAGGAGCTGCCATAGAGAGCTCACATCAGGCATACAAGCAATTCATCATATCACCCTAATTCACATAACAAGTCAGATAAAATCTAAGCATTAAAGTGTGCATGCTTGTTGACATGACAGAAGGTTGAAATCCTGTGAAATAGATGCCTCTTATATGAAAGATGAGGATAACAATTTTTTCAAAGCCTTCGTAGGTTGAACCTGCCCATCCATGTAGTTGCTGCATCGTGGAAACACACCTATAGCGTGTGGCAGTACTGATGAATCCGAAACTGGGCTCCAGCTTACAAAAGCAAAAGTCCTTCTAACATTTCATTGTAACTGAAAGAAGAGATCCAGACGCTGGTGGGTTTTTAAAAGTTATATCATAATTTATAATTGGTTGTTAATTAATGTCAGATCACAGTGGAATTCCTATGGAATTACAGAGTGGAGCCTCTTTAATTACCACTTTATAATTATAAATCTCATTGGAATGAAAAACACGGGAACTGTAATAAACGATGAAGATCTTGGAAGACTTCTTTTGACTAATAAAATCTTCATGTATGCGCCTTACGAATTTTTAGAACAGTAGTCTTCATTTTGGGCAAAAAACACTTTCCACGATGCAGAATTCTCCTTGCATTATGCAAAAACAAAGAGAAAAAAAATCTTAAACATTCTTTCACAACTAGAGCAATTACATCTTGTGAAATTAAAAATACATCTCAGGTCTCTTAGCACTACATCTTGTAATCTGTGTACACCATTGATCACTAAGGTAAGACCTTTCCTGCTCTGTGGTTTTGTCATTCTCTGCTGATTTGCCTGCAAAAAGTCACAGAACTATCCCCGGCTGCAAAAGATCCTCTATGCAATCATACAGTAGAGGCCTGAAGCTTACTGTTCAGGTTATCATGATCTGTGCTGTACTTGCATACAATCAAGGATGAGATGATTAGTACTGTGGATGTTCACTCTTAATTAAATGTACCCACAGCAGTTACTCCAACGTTCTGCTGCACACCTTTATACCTCCCCAAACACCTGTGGGTGGAGAATTACAACTATAACAGCTTTACACCAGTACCCTAAAGACCAAAAGCTGATGCAATATGTATCTTGTTGTGAATTTATTCAATCGTCTTTTCCTCTTTTCAGTTTAACTTTGGGCTGGCTGAAATGAAACAGAAGTTGGGGTGCCTGCCACATGGAAGCAGCCTTATAAGAAGAGTTCCCAATGCAGGAACTCTGCAACACACACAGGAGGCAGGAGGAGGAGAAGGAGGAGGAGGCAGGAGGAGGAGAAGGAGGAGGAGGCAGCTGCCTCCTTGTCAGTGCCACCACATCATAGGACCCCAGCACAGACCTGTGCACACTCATCCTCTGCTCTTGGCCACAGTCATTCACAAGGAGCCCTTGGACCCTATCTCCAGATCTTGGTTGGAATGAGGAGGAAGATACCAATTTGAATTCAACAACTGTTTCAACAATTGGCTTTACTTTGTTGGTCAGCAGCAGGCCCTGAGCCTCACCAGCTTGTTGGTATGTCCCAACAATCCCAGTCGCTTTCTCTTGTTCTCCAAACTGCTAGTTACTGCTTTCAGCCATCCTCCTAAGACTTCTCTTTCCTCCACAAGGACATGAGTAATTCGTATGTTGAGCCCCTCCTCTCCTGCTTCTAATAACATTGTTTTTCTCCGTTCCTCGCATTTTCCCCCAGTCCTCTCTTGGTTCTGTTTTTTCGTGCCTTTGAGGCTGCAGCCCCTCGCTTCTCCTCGTGTCTCATGTACAGGCGTGGGAATGTGTAAACCTGCCAATGTGCACTTTGTAAAAACTTGTTGCAGATCTGATGGGTTTCATTCTGTGAGCCAAGAAACCAGGCTTACAACATAATTGATACTAGCAAATTGAGAGAGGAACTATGGCCCCTACCTAAAATAAAAGACAATCACAGGGAATTAAAGGTCATGGTATAAAGAACTGTGCAGAGGAACACTGGGAAATAAGAACAAATATAATACAGACTACAGTGTAGTTAAACCAGAGATGAATTTGCCTAAATAAAACATAAGAAACCTATTTCCTGTACTAATTACTCTACTTCTTAGAGAAGTGTAATGCTGGCATCAACCTTCATACTAAATTGCACCACAAAACCCCAACACTTAACAGTGTTTTAGCTGACACATTAGGCAGGAATTTACCAATTTTTATTTTGCCTAGCTGTTGTTTATTCTCTGACAAATTTTCATTGAAGATTTTACCAAAGGGGGAGATGCTCCTTGAACAGCAGAACTGCTATTCAAGAGCTTTGAGAAGTAACCACACACTATTATTTGATTATCTGCTTGTTTTTCATTCGAATTTCCAAAAGTATCCCTTTAGTAAATGCAGACCAGCAGCATCAACAGGGCAACTTCCCTACACATCCAGCGCTTCCCCTAGAGTATGTGGGTTACAGTCAGTAACATGGGCAAAAAGACAGCTTGTTTCTTCTCATTCATTTTGTCGGCAGAACAAAAACGATGGCACATTAGCAACAGACTTTCATACAGACACTGGAATTAATCAGACTCGAGTTTGCCTTCCCTTAAATCACAGGGTCATGACAAAGGTGGGGAGAAGAATTTGCAGTTGTATCTTTGCAGGACTGCATTCCTAATTCTGCCCAAGATAACATAGTCCCAGTGCCTTGGATTGCTGGTTATTACGATCAACAACAGACACACATACATATTCAGCGAAAGTGTTCGAACTCTCACATTTGTATTCATTTTACTTTGACTTGACTGAAATCATAAAAGGAATGTGTAAACGAGGATAGCCTGTTGCTGAAATGAAGTTGAATTTTTTCCCCACAGAAACTTGGGTTCATGACAGCTTTTTGTTGGGCAGGACATTAGCCTTTTGTAATTTATTGCTTTTAGATTAAATCTGGGGAAACTCAATATTGCAGTTGAATGATTAGAGCAATACCCCTCAGAGTAATAAATTTTCTTTGGTGCTGTGCATCTCCCGATCATGTTTCCCTTCTAATTACATTTACATAAATGATATTCTGCAAAATTAAATTAACATTCAAACCGTTACGCTGGCAAGGAGAGACAAAAATTAGTTACAAACTTACATCCCTAAAAAACCAAAATGACACCTTGTTCTTTCCAGAAACTGAATCACAGCTATCCCCCAAAGTGTCTCTTACACACTGATTATTCTAGTTGGTTAATCACCGACCTAGACACTCTGCTCCCCCTCTCCGAAGTTTATAGTGTAAGGTCCTGCTTTCCACCGGGTCTCATTAAACAGAAGCAATTGGTGGCAATCCAAATTTGGTCAGCAAAGTGCTCTATTCAGAGCTAGATTTGATTTCTAACTTTGGCCACAGCCCTTCCTCAGGGCTTCCCTGTCTTGGCTCCTGCACGCCATTCCTCTCGTATGGAGCCAGAAGGTACTTGGCGGGGCTCCCTGTGAACTTAGACTTAGTGCCGCGCTAACACCCTCCTGACCAGGCTGAAGAAAGATGTTCTTCCTCCTCATGCATCCACACCACCACGCTGGCTGGCTAGCAGCGCCATGCTTCCCTGGGCTGCTCTCCAATTGATGCATGGGCACAGGGGCTCATGGAGCAAGTTTTCACTTGCCAAGGGGAGGGACCATTATCCTGAAGAGTTAAGAAAAAAAGGGTGCCAGCCTACTGCTGGCTGATGAAGCCGGTCTTCAAGCAGCTTTTCCAAGATCCAACGTTTAAATGGATTGTCATATGTAGTGTTGGTTTGCCTAAGGTCACCAATCTCCTGACTAGTCAATCTATTTTCTCAGCACTGTATGAGGAATGGTAGCTTTTAGAAGAAAAATCGTTTCCTAAGACCTACTTGGAAAGGCATCATTTTTGTCATCCAGTAGAGGATTTGGCCCTTCAGATACCCACACACTGTAAAGACAGTGTACATCCACCTCCTCTCTACTCTCTTTGGGTTGGGTTTTTGATGCCAAAAACAAACCATCAAAATACTTATGCA